ATCCCCTTGGGTGAGAACCAGTTCGCTGTCCTTTCTGGTTGCGTAGACTATGTTCCCGCCAAAATTGCTAGGAGGCGTTCCCCGCCTTGTGACACGAGTTCTTTGCATTCTCCGGTTCATTTTGATCATGCTGCTACAAATTTTCTGACAAAAGAAATCGCCGGAGCAGTTACCTCCATGATAGGAAAGGGTCCAGTTACTAGGGAGAAGCTCGTGGCTCAGGTTTCAGAGACGTCTGAACGAGTCATGAAACAACTCTCCACCGCTTCACGTCCGCGACATTCTCGTAGCAGGAGACCGGGGTCCGCCCGTCGGTCCGCTACGAGTTCGGGGTCCTTACGCTCCGTAGTACAAACCGTCGAGCCCATTCAGGAGTCACGGGAGGCTTCGAATGTGGAGTTTGACGGGGCTACTCCAGAGCTTGGTTCTGTTCCTTTCACCACCACTTCTATAGCGGCGATGGCCGAGGCTCTTACTGTACCTCATTCTATTAATGATAATAAAGATAAGGGTTTGTTTTCTTACTGTTCTCCTGTTTTGAGTCAGTATCCTACTTCTACTGTTTTTGGTAGCGAGGCAAGATCTGGGGCACACCTCCGCCGATACTCCTCGCATTCGTATTTAAGAAAGGGCTATCGCCCACCCGAGAGGAGGTGGGTCCGAAAGAACTCCACTGTTGCACCTCTTGTAGCTTCACCGCCTATTGCGGGGGTTAATGTCTCGATTTCGGGACAAATCTCTCCTCTAGTTGATCGCAGCTTAGACTTACCTCGGGATAACCCTGAGGGTGGGCCCGAGTTCGATCCTGAGGAAAACTTGTCCAGTGAGTTTTATGACATTTCCGACAACCTCCTTGAAGAGGATGATCTCCTTGGAGAAGAGCTTCATGACTTTGAGATGACAAAACATCATGTTTTTGTGGTGACCACTCGAGGGCAAAGATCCTCTACCGATGATCCGTCTCACGACCTCGAGGAGGTTGACCGTCACGAGCCCATAGAGGTTCAGAACGCCCCTGTAATTGATCAAGGGGGCCCTACCCCCGAGGAGACTATCTCCCTTTTACAGGGTCAGATAGCAATCCTCACTGCACAGATTGCTGCGGTAGAGGACCGGGCTGGGTCCGACGTAGCCTCACCTCCGACGCAGGTAGAGACGTTTAGTGACGCCCGTCGCGCCGCCTGAACCGGCAAGACCTGTTCGTGTTACCTCTTCTGATATCACCCAAAATGAGCAAGCACAGTCTGACTCGCATTTACAGTCTTTAATAGATGCAAAAGTAAAGGCTGCCCTAGCAGCACAACAGGGAGTGACCATAGTGCGTCGAGGCAGGCCTTACCCCGAGGCGTACAAATGCATACCGTATCCTCCAAGCTTTTACTCCTTTCGAGGGAGTTGGGAATCCTCGCCGACATAACGCCCGAAACTGAGCGATGTGCTAGCGCCCGTTTGGGATATGACGATTTGTCCTCTGCCCTTTCGGTTCGGATGGGCTTTGGCGGCCCGTTGGGATGACACAGTTATTTCGTAGGTTCTGTATGCTGATGAGTATGCAATCCACATGGGAACCACGAGAGACTCACTTCTCGCCCCGTGATTTAGCGAGAGCTTTGAAGCATCAGGACATTCCCCCTGCGGGATAACCTCCCTTGACGACCCCATGCTAGTTGTCATTTTTCAGGTAAGCAAAACTCCTTCTATTGAGAGTATTCTTGGGTACCCCCAAGATGTAATTAACCAAGTGGGATACGTCCCCTTGGGAGCGCTCTTGACCCCAGAACATGCACAACATGCACCTACACCTGAATGTAGTTTACGTAGGTATTCTTTCGCGAATATCGGTTTAAGGTGTTTTCGCCCGATCTCGTTTGGACGGACACTCTTAACCTATCCTTGCGAGGTTTACCGCACGTAGGCTCTCCACGTTTTGTGTTTTCTCTTGTTTGTTGTTTTGTCGTATGTCCATTCTTATTCGTTTCCTCTCCTCTCCGAATCACATATATGATTCGGGATGGAGATTTATTCGAATGGGGGAAGTATTCGACGATCGACAAACTGGCGACTCCTTCTAAAATAAAAGAGAGAAAAACAAACGAAAACGCACTCATCTTAGGAATCTGCGAATAGATCTGGATTTTTACAGATCTTTCTGTAGTTTATTATTTTGGGTATTTTATACTTTTATTACTTGTGTGAACAGAAGGTGGATTGGCCAAGTGTTTTCCTATTTTAGTTGGATCACATCAATGTACATATTCTTTTGCTTTAGTTATGGATGTTCTCACTGAACATTTACAGGAGGATGTATGTTGATGTATGTTTTTCACTGATGATATTCTTCTTGTGGAGAAAATTAGAGAGAACTCAGGAAAAACATGAATTATTGAGGTCAACTTTAGAGTTTAAAGACCTTCCTTTGAGTATTTCTTAAAACTAAATACATTGAATATAATTTTAATAGTAGAAGATCTAATGGCGGGATTATAACAATGAGTGATCGAATCATTAAAGGAGCGAATGCTTTAGATATCTAGAGTCTATTATTCAAAGTGATACTGATATAGATGGGAATGCTATTAGTAAAATTCAAGTTGAATGGTTGAAATGGAGGAATGCATCAGGCCTATCGTTTGATAGAAAAATATTGCTTAGACTTCGAAGAAAAAATTTATAAGATGGTGAAGAGAGATGCAATGTTTTATGACGTAAAACATTTTTAATAAAGTGAAAATGCTCAGATAGATTAGTGGTTTTTACAGTTAGAGATAAAATGCAAAAAAAAAAAAATATATCCATGGAACTGTTGTAGTAGTTTCAGTGGAAGACAAGATTATGGAGAGTCTCCTTAGATGGTTTGGTCACTTTAAACGTCGACCAGCTAAGGACTAGATAGGAGAGTCAATGTTTTAGATTTGAGTTATGCTAAGAAAGGTAGATGTAGAACAAAGAGGACTGGGGCATGTTGTATATAAAATAATCTTAATTTATTAGAATTAAATAAAAATATGACACTCAATATGACACAATCGAGAAAAATGATTCATCTAGTTGACCTCACATAGTAGGATAAAGGCTTGTTGTTGTATTATTTTGGGTATTTTGAAGCCTAGAAATAATTAAATAGGATCCTTTAGATATGTAAAAGTAATTTAACAATGCATGCTGAAATACATATACAGTTTTTCACATCGTACATGTGCTTGTTGATGTCTTCTTCATTACTTCATATGTGTGGATGACTACTCATAGGGGATGACTCCTTATATTAGCTTAAGGCACCGATCTTCTCTTTGGGGTCATTTCTATTCTAATTCATGTCTTTTAAATACTTGGATGATGTTTTTGCATGGTGATTACATTTTTTTTGGGCGTTTACATACGTACCATCCAATTCTTATATATTTACATATCTAGCATCTAAACTTTGCTTTTTACGTTTATACGACCCAAAATTTTCACATCACATCAAGAGGACCACTATTTTAACTTTTAAAAAGTTAAATGCACCTTTTCGTGTACACGTAAGAGGGCATATATGTGAACATTGAAGTTTAGGTGTTAAAGTTGTAAATACATAAGAACTGAGTGGTATGTATGAAAATCTTCCAAAATTTTTTTTACAAGTGACTTGTCAGGTATTCTTTCTGGAAGTTTGAAATTGATCTGTTGAATTTTATTCTTCACCATTTTTTTGTGGAATTTCAGATTTTGCATGTTTGCTAAATTTTCTATTAGAATGCAGTCATGAACAGAAGCTTGTTTGCTGTTCTTAGCTTTAGAAGCGAAGTTTTTTACTAAAATTATGAATTTGTAACATTTGGTTGTGATTTTCTTTTGATTCTTCTTACGTTGCATTAGAGACTCTAGACATTTAATCCTGCTTTTTACACCAACACGATTAAAATCTAGGAGAATGAAAAGTTTTGAAAATTATCTCATCATCATAAAATTAATAGATTGGTACAAAATCAACTTGTTCTGTTACAAATAATCTCAAGATTCAATTAATAATCACAGAACATGTTAAAAACTTGATCATACTTTTAAATTTTAAAATTCCAACAAAAATTGCTGATTCCGGCTTCATAGAACTGCAATTGACTTATATATGCAGCCAGTCAAATGCGACAGGAAATTCGCACACATGCTCAAATAACATTGCATCCAAAATACACACAGCAATCCTTAAAAATGAATCTAAAACTTGAGTGGAATTATTCATGAACCAAACTTGTCTGAGATCTCATGACAAACTTAGACTGACTTTACTTTAAAACATGAATCAAATGTAAAATAGTCCTCTGATTGTTTTCATGCGGTCATTTTAGTCCCGGAGTTTATAAAAGTGTTAAATTAGTCCTAGACTCTTTAAATTAGGGCTGAAATAGTCATTCGTTGTGATTATTTCAGCCATAATTTAAAGTCTAAGAATTAAATTGACACTTTTATAAACTCTAAGACTAAAATGACTCCCTAAAAAGAATAAGAAGACTATTTTGACACTTATCTCTTTAAAATAATGCAAACTTTGAAGGCTCTCATTAAATGCACGCCCAAATTACTAGCACAACAAAAGAAGATGAAATAAACCAACTAATGGAAATCAAATGAACATTACTTAGATCATTGCTCTATATGACAGTTTTGATGAAAATAAACACTCAAATTTCCATATACTAAGATGCATTGAGAGGATGAGAGTGAGGAATGGACTTGAGGGAAACAGTTCAATTTAGAGTAGCATTTTAATTTAGCTATTCCAGATTTTCAAAAAATGAGGTATCAATTTTACTATATTGATTTCTTGATCTTGGCAGTCTTAGTGATGCTTAACTTACCTCTGTTGAAGTTTCTTCATTGCTGGCAAGTATTGGACTTTTAAATAATTAAGGAAGGTTGCTCAAGTTACTACGATATTTTTGCTGGAAAACTTTTATCTTTTTACTTTTTTTTGAAAGAATTGAAAATATTAGGCTCTGATTGTTCAAACAAATGGGCAGGTACCAAGCCCAGCTCCAAAAGAATCTGCTTTATCTGGCCGCCATAGCTGATGCACAGCCTCCAACTCCTTCAGTCCGTCCTCAGGTTTTATCTGCACAATTTTCAAGCTTATCCTCATATATCTGGTTGTGCATAGAAGTAAAAATCTGTTAATGCCGAAAGTTTGAGGAGCGAGCTTGCGGAACGAAGACTAATCAAAATTTCGATTTGTTTATGGCTCAGTGACTATCATGCTTGCTTGAAACAAATTTGGTTTACCTCGGTATAGATCAAATAATTTTGCTTGAGATGAAATCAAATTAAGGGTTGGTTTTTTCTATATATAATATTTTCTTATACCTACCACACTATTAGATATGGTTGTGAAGAGCTTATAATAAAAAATTTTGGGAAAGCAATAAATTATATAGCCAGACATTAGTGTTACAATTCGTTGTAGAAGAGTAAGGTGCCAAAATAGCCCACTGATTGTTTACACGGTGTCATTTTAGTCTTAGACTCTATAGAAGTGCCAAAGTAGTCCTCAAATTTTTAATTTGGAGCGCTAATAATCATCCATGAGGACTATTTTAGCCCCAATTTAAAGAATTTGGGGACTAATTTGGTAGTTTTAAAACTGTGAAGGAATTGTTTCAAACAACCTTTAAATACTTGTATGTCAAAATACACGTATGTGTTTATATTTTTATGTTTTTTGTATGCCATTGTATTTTAATGTATGTATCACCCATGCATGAATGGATGCATGCTTGTACATAGTGGATCCGACATTGAAATTAATGATTTCGACTAGGGCTGTTAAAAAAGTTTGTTGTTGGCAAACAACTTGTGTTCGGCTCGTTAAGTATCTTGTGTTCGAATCGTTTATTAAGTAAACGAGCCAAACACAAGTAAATTTTTATACTCCAATTATAAACATGCCGAACACGAACAACCCTTTGTTTCACCGTGTTCGGCTCGTTTTGGCTTGAAATAAAGAAATTAATTATATTATTTATATAATAATATATATTATATATATTTATATCTAAGTTCAAACCATAATAGATTGTTTGGTCATGTGGTTTTGCGTCTTTTATTACATAGAATTGGTGCAGGTTCAAATCCAACACCCTTAATTAATTTAAACGAGTCAATTTCAAGCCGAACATGAGTTGAACGCCAACAAGAATTTAATTCGAGCTGAACACAATCACACTGTCTACAAGCAATTTTGAATACTAGCCAATCTTGAACGAGCCAAACATGAGTCAGGCCTGAGCTTGCGCTCGTTTACGGCCCTAATTCCGATATCTATCTTAGACATTGAACTGATTAAACAATTTCTAGCTGATCTTGAGCTTGGTTGGATTAATTGCAGATGGGATTATTTTGAGCTTTACATTAGGCTGGCTTCTTATTCATGTTTCTTTATTAGTAGTACTGGTTTTATGTTGAAGTTTCAAATCTTCAATTTACTCAAGTTTATAAAGCATTTTTTGTTTGTCTAAGGATCCATGCTGTACCATCTTATCAATCTAAAAATGCACTATCATTTTCCACTTTTTTGTTGGCACCTTTGTTTGGATGCTTTAAAACTGGCCTTTATAAGGCTTAAATTGGTTGATTGTGATAGAAAACAAATTTAAAAATTTACGTTGTTCTTATAGGATGTGAAAATAAAATATATTACTTCTGAGATTTTTAGGAAGTGTTTGTAGAGTTTAAAAGCCATTTTAATTTTTATATGTATCTGAAAGTGTAAGTCAGTCGAGTCTGAGTTGAACTCGAGCTTAATCCAATCAGGTCTTTTTTTTTTCCTCTCAAGAATTTGAAAAAAGGGACATTTACATACATGCCACCCAATTCCTATATATTTACATTTCTAACAACTAAACTTTGCACTTTACATTTATACCACCCAAATCTTTCATGCCATATAAAAAATACCACCATTTAAATTCTTCAAAAATTGAAATACACCTTTTTCATGCATAAGGGCATATGTAAGGTGGAATGTATGTAAAAATTGAAGTTCAGATGTTAGATATGTAAATACATAGGAATTGAATGGTGTGTAACATAGGAATGGTGTGTATGTAAATCTTCCTTAAAAAAGTATCTTTTTCAGCAAATCATATTTTACTTAAAACCACTGCTTAAATTTCTGATTTACCACACAGGTGGTTCCACACCCGGCAATGCAGCAGGGAGGCCCTTTTATCCAGCAGGGTGGTCCAGCATTCCCTCCCAGGCCCCTCATGCAGTACGCTCCTCAGCAAATTCATGGACAGCCGCGGAATCTTCCACCACCATCCATGCCTTTTCCGAGCCATCTGGGCCTCAGATCCGGCGTCATCAATGGCATGCAATCCATTCATCTTCCTCTGAACTCTCACGGCGCGAGTGGCGGCGAGCTCCCGCCCAGCTCCACCATGACCGAGCTCCCGCGAGGAAGTGCGCCAGTGAGTAGCTCGATGGACGGACAATCGAGCAGGCTGGATGCTGGTAAGGCTGATATTTCGACCGGTGGCTCGACCGATGGTCAGCGAAGTTCGGGCTCGGAACATGTTGGCGGGGAGGTCGTCGAACCGCCCACGGCATACTTGAAAAGGAATGAAGATTCCAAGACATGATGAGATTAGAGTAAAGCTTAAGGATTTTGTATATCTTTTTAGTATGATTTTCTCTCAAGTGTTGTGTTTGGGAGTGGTTTAGACTTTTTTTTCAATGTTTCTTCAGCTTGACAATATGTTAAATTGTTGGTAAGAGTTTTTTAAATGAGGATTTGTATGTTTCATTATGATTTTCAAATAGATTTGTTTGTGTTACAATAATTCTTGAATCATTTTGGTGTTGGTTGCATTGGAAGTGGAGCTGGAGAAGAGCAAATAGTGTATTTTTTTAAGGTTTATTTATTTATTTTGTATTTCATGTTGTTTAATGTTAATGCAATTGTGATGGGTGATATTTATGAAATAAGGGAAAGGTAATAACAATGAAGGGCCTTTTAGAAGTTGATATTAATAGGACAAATGAGAGTTCATGATATCTTAAATGTGTATTTATAAAAAAAATAAAGATTAAATACATAATACTCGAATCTTATGTGTTTATTTAACTAAAACTTCAATTTTTACATGCATGGGGCCTCACCTATGCATGAAAATGTAAAAAAGTGATATAAATACACAATTTCATATATATATAAGATGGCATATATGTAAAAATTGAAGTTTAGGTGTTCAATATGTAAATCTTCCTTGTATATATATTTATATATACAGGAAAGATAAGTTCGTAATTGTCGGAGATGAAAAATCTGAGAAAACTACAAGGACATATACAGCAATGCCAATCGCAATGGAATACAAAGCGAAGTACAAATACAGAAACTCGTTCAAACACCCCAAACTTTGATAAAAGTTACAAAATGTTGCTCATCTTGGCTAACAAAATTTCAGAAAAAATGATAATCATTCATTGAAAAGTATAAAACCTCAATACACAGCCATTAAATATCAGAAAATTACCATCTAACTCTCCTCTTCTGCGCCTTGAAAACTAATGGAACAGGAAGAGTCATCAGAGATTTCTTAAAGGGGCCTTCTTTGTAAACTTGACATCCCAACTGCAGATAGTATGGTTTAAGTGAAGCTCTAGTCATAGCCAAATCCTTCTCAATGTCGGCCGAATCGGTCCGAAAGTCGTCCGCATGGAGGGTGAGAACTAAGATGTAGGAAATGAGGAGTTGGCTCTTTGTGGATGAAAGAACATTTGAGATTGGATCCAAGAAGATCGAAAGAAACCGATGAAATATGACGTTTGGAATCATGAATTCGCTCATTGCTTTGTCATAATCACGATAAGATTTCCATCGAACGGATTCCGCAACCTTCCGGAAGTTTATAAGGTGAGTAATGTATGATAATATAGATGCAAATTGAGTCTTCTCCGCCTCATCCTGCATAGAAACATGAGAAAATTTACTCCACCAAAAAAAATAAAATCTAGTGGTCAAATACATCATCTTATGCTTAAGTTCAAAATATGAACATGATAAAAATATAGATAAAAATTTTATATGTTAGATATCTAGACACATAAGAATTGTTTGGAATGCATATAACTTTTCATTTTTTTTTTTTTTTTGTAAGTATCATGAGGGAAAAGTACGACGGGATAAAATCATAAAAACATCCCTCCCTGCCAGTCAATGAGAAGTTATCCATTAAATATTATACATCTTCTCACAGCTCTTCTCTTTAAGACCGTGAAAATAATCACTTGCGTGGCAAGCAAGTAGGGGTAAGTATTGGGTCGGTTTGGATGGATTGGTTTTAAAATTCAGCAAATCGATTGCAACCAAATCCAAAATCCAAAATAAAAAAAGCCGAACCAATAAAAATTTTGACAAAATCAAACCAAAATTTAATTAGATTTAAACATTTTGGTTACGAACAAACCTTATATGTTGAAGTTCAATTATAAATAAACATCAAGAATTATATATCTTAATATGTATAGTATCATTTAAGTTCTTGTTTCCTCAATTTAATTTTGAATTTTAGATTTTCTGTTTATTCGGTTGAACAAAGGTTAAAACTGAACCAAGAACCAAAAGCCAAATATTGAGGTTTCTAAAAAAAAAAAAAAAAAAACCAAAATCCATTTTTAAAACTGAACCGAATCAACCAAAATTATTTGGTTCGATTCGGTTTTTCGATTTTAACCAAATAATGTGCACCACTACAAGCGACTGATGTGACAAATTTATATGGACAAAATGTTCTCACGTATTGAGTACCACATAGTTGCTTATTTTCGAAACTAAAACAGTACTAATAGTGTCCACTATATTTAATGCCTATATACAAAACAAAAGAGCATAAGAAAAAACATGAAAAGAAACACCAATAAGAATATTGTTAAAAAAAAAGCTTCAATAAAAAAAAGTAAAGCTCCTGATTATAAGAAATCCGGAAGAAAGAAACGCTTCAATTGTAATAACCAAACAAATGTGCGAGAGAATTACCTGCATATCCCTTAGCTTATTCAATCGATGTATAACAAAACATGGGTAGTGATTCTCCTCCCAAAATTTGGAATTATAACCATCATTAGGCTCCGATTTCAACGTCTCCAAAATATCCTTAAGGTAAGATCTTTCTCCTTTTAGTATAATCTTATGTAAGGGGTACGCATTGTGTGGTGTCACAGCAGAGGCATCATAAGGAGGAATATTACGAACCAATGGTTCTTCAATATCTTTCGAAGCTTCATCGTTCAAGTTACTCTCTGTTCCAACTTCAAGGGACCCAAGAACAGAAGGATCATCCACTTTTCGTTTTATTGATTTCCACTTACTTGCCTATAGGAAAATAGAAACACCAGTAATTAAAATCATTGCATTATATTGTAGCGCATATTAGAACAAAAGTCCAAATTACTCATGTATGTCATGTCTCCAAGTTATCATATTTTTGTATCATTTGTTATCATGTTTGTTTGCAGCATTAACTTATATATTTGGTTGCATCTTTCAGCCGACGAGTTTGTCTGTAGAATCAAAAAACAAATTTAATGTAGAAGAAATTGATGCAAACATCAAACTTTATAAACATAAAAAGCATGGAACATATGTATTGAGATGTGGGTAAATTGATAATTAGAGAATTGATTTGCTTTAAGTTAATTTTATTTTGTATTTTTGAGGTTTTTTATATTATTGAAAACACGCTGATAATGATTGTCCCTATACAGGACAACTTGTGATGTCTAATTCATAAAACAATTCGGTTAAATTCATTGTTTTTTGTAGGTGGTTCTTTGGGTTTGTTATTGTTGGCTTGGCTCTCTCTATGGTTCTTTTTCTTTTTTTTTTTTTTGTTTTTGAGGATTGTTCCCTTCAATATCGCTCCAAGAAACTTCCTAGCAAGCATATTTGTTATAGATCTTTCTTTCCAATGGCTTATGTGGTTGAATAAAGAAGTGAATTTTATTAACATATGAATTTGAATTATCCCGAACGCATGTGAACAAGTATTATATCTGTTTTATTTTTTATTTTTGAATTTGAGAAGAAGCTTTATGATAATTTTTAAGAAAAAAGAATGGCATAAATGGTAAATTTTTGGAGTGAAATATATAATTTAGATAATTTTGAGAGCTATGCATGTAAATCTCCCTAATTTTTAAGACACGAGATTTTTAGTGTCCGTTCGATTTGCTATATATAAGGTAGTTTGGAATGAGTAATACATTTTATTTCATAGATGTAAATGAAACAAAAAGAATTATGCACAATAAAAGGCTTGATAATGCCACTTCAACAAACATATATTAAAGGCCTTGATTAATCGTGACAAAGTAAAGCTCACCTGCCTCGTGTATGCATGCAACCATGCAAGGTGCAAGACAGAAGTATAAATTATACACAACTCATAAAAAGAAATGAAAACTTACAACCATCTTAGCCTTCTTTGTACCATAGAGTTGAGTAAGCTCTGCCATCGGATGCTCCTTATTCTCATCAATAATGACTTCTTCACCCGCTTCTGTGCGCTCTCCATCACCATTGACAAGCCTAGGCTCCAGCCTGAGGATCTGCATGCTCTCTCATATTACAACGGTAGCTTTTCATGCAGAATAACATTTACAAGGCATACAAGTAGCAACACGTGGAAACAAAATAACTTGGGAAAGCATGTTTAGAACAACAATATGAGAATAACTTAAGAAAGAATAACAAAACAAGAATAGTATTTTTTCTCGAAAGTCTTAAAAAATAGAACTTTAAGTTCTTGATCGCAAACATAAGTCAATAATCCAGAGAGAAATATTGGCAGCCTTTTGCAAGATAAAGCACAGGTTATAGAGAAAACCATTAACACGGATATTTAAAAGGAGTATAATTCTAAGATGAATCAAAAACCTTGTTGGCAGCAATGGGCACAATCTTCAAAGTCTGGGTTTCCTTATCAAGAACACCGAGGGCATACGTGCATAGCTGCGGCATGGCAGCCTCGCCGGCGTAGCTCTTGCCAACAAACTCAACGTTGCAGTCAGGTGGACGTACCACTAGTTCAAGGCGATTGGGCTTGCTCTTGTTCCTATAGACATTGACGTCAGGGTCAGCGCCAGCAGCAAGAGGATCATAGCCAGATGGGAAGTAGCCGACGATGGGAGCCATTCTATCCCCAGTTTCCGATAAGACTTCCATCGCCAGTTCCAGCTTCTTCCTCTTCTTCTTTTCTCGTCGGCTAACGGTGCCTCTAATTCCCTCTTGCTCCACCATTTGGGGCTGTTTGGTAGCAGGATTTGAGCGGGATTCCCTGCCAAACAGTAAAAAAGGCATCTTTAACTCCTACAGGTTCTTAAATCCCGTTTATTCCTTCGTTTTGCCTTGAATCCGGGATTTAGTAAAACCACTTGGAAAACGGATTTGCCGGATTTAGAGAAGTTTAAGCCTGCAAATGAGGGGAGTGGGGAAGGGCGAGAAAGACGAATGTTACCTTCCTCAATGGTTACTGGTAGGAGCGGAGTGGAAGAAGGAGAAAGATGGAAGTTTCGGAGGTCTTTGTACGTTGCGATCCCGTTGTTGCCTTCGCAGTAGCCCTAACCGCGACTGTATCGGGAGCGTGTTCAGGAAGGCGATGGATTTGGGCGAAACCAGGGGAAGGGTGAGAGACGTCGGCAAGGGTTTTGAGCAGAACAGGGGGAGGAAGACATCAGAACATAAGTTGCGACGTTAATTTAATAATTAATTGTTTAATAACTTATGATTAATCAATAATAATAAAATAAATTTATATGTAACTATATATAATAAAATATTAATTAGTTTAATAAATATTTAATTATTTATTAGTGTGATTAAAATAAAAAATTACTTTAAATTTAATTTAATTGTTTGGGACATCTCCGGTTGCTTGTAAAAATTGTTATGAAATTATAGTGATAAAGATTATTGTTTGGAAAGTTGAGCTTTTTTAGGACGTAGGATCTTGTGTTATTCTTGATTTAATATAACTCCGTAAAGATCTTGTTTTTAGGAAAAAGGTATTAAAGAAGTTGATGGATGTATTGCTAAAGCTCCTCCCTATCATTCTATATTTTCTCAAGATTTCAAGACGGTAGGGAATAGCTCAAAGAAAGGATCTTTCCTTCTCGGTAACAAGAGAAAGAGAAAGAAAGAGGCTCATAAGTCACTTTTTTGGATATCCCCAATATACATGACTGCTATGGTGTCTGGTGAAAATATCATGATGAGAGTGTCAAACGACGGTAAATAAGAATTGACACATATACTCTAAAGCAATGATGATTTTTTTTCGAGAGACTCGTTCGATCACTTTAGTTGTTAGTCTTGGCTTGAGAATGACCTTACCGAAAAAGCCTTATTAAAGTATACCATTGCATTATGGTGTCTGGTGAAAAAATCATGATACTGGTGTCAAACGACGACAAATAAGGATTGACACATATACCCTAAAGCAATGATGGTTTTTTTTCCAAAGACTCGTTTGTCCTGGACTAGTTCGATCACTTTAGCAGTTGGCCTTGGCCTGAGAATAACCTTACCAAAAAAAGCCTTATTAAAGCATACCATTGCATTCTGGTATATATGGTTATAGGTTCTTTTCCTCTTCAATAAAACTTACATTACACTAATAAATAATTTTTTTTCTATGCCAATCAGAAGTCTCAATGATAATCAGTCACCATACTCTCAATTATCTAAACAACTTGATTTTATGATTCAGGATACCTCGCTGGGGTTGATATGTACTCACCAAACCCAACAAGAATTCGTGACCTTTGATATAAGTTCATTAAGACCCAAATAAAAGAAGTAATCCCACAAAAAAGATAAAAAACAGACTAAAGAGAGAAAAAATTATTTGGGAGATTGATGTGCCGTTGGAGAATTTATTTGAATTATAATGAATTTTGATACATGTTTTTAGATTTCAAACCATATGATTACAATAATTAATTTTGTGGTCAATTGTATTTAGATTTTGATACAAGTGTATCCTTTACACAAAACAAGAGGGGTATATATAGGTTTAGCAAGTCCCCCAGAGAGCCAATAAAATAATAACACAGGGATTGCAACCTAAAATCTATTATAAAGTTGATCTAATGATCGAGACCTTCAATCAGTGTGCTCGCATTTTTCCTCTAATGCCTTAATCTATGTGCTCACAATTTCCTTATGAGATGATAAGCGACACTCACAAAATTAGGCTCACACTTAGCAGCATTTAGAAACACAAATAAAATTTTCTCAATATCATTTTGAGGATCAAATGTACACCAAATTTTATGTGTTTATATTCGAAACAAATATCTTGATGGGATGAATCTGTCAAGCCCAAACTAGTTATGAAAAATATATGTCATGGCCAAAGTGAATCGATTGAGAAATGTCATTATTCATGGAGGAAATGATTAAAATAACCTTTGCAAAATTTCATAAATTAATCATATTTCAATGCATTAATGAGAGGATTTTTGGAGGAGAGAGTTATTTAACTATAAGAATTCTAGAGATCTGACCACTACAACATGTTGCTTACTATCTATTAACAGCATATACCTCCCAAAGCCACTAATGTTCAATTTTGTTATTGCTGATTTAACGCTAGAAAAGTTGACTTTAGATAGGAAGAAAATGCTATAGAAATTTAACTGAAATAAGACATGTAAGAAAAAAAAAAACAAATCATTCTTTGCAATTAGATAATCTGCCTATAAATTACTTGAGCATCAGTTAATTCCTTTGGCTTTCCTTGACAAAAACTGAGAGAGAATTAAACCATCACATCGTTTACTCCATTAAAAAAAAATACTACAAATTACTTCATAGAAGTTCAAAATGAATTGCATAAAATTGATAAAGAAAACTGTCACTCAAATCAGCAGTCCTCCCGCAATAAGTTACTTTCAATCGGTTGATATTGTATAAATTTCCAACTCAATAATATAATGGGAATTTACATATATAGCACACAATTCTTATGTGTTTATATGTCTAACACCTAAAGTTTGATATTTTCATTTATAACACCTCACTGTATTTCACTTTTAAGAAGTTAGCAAGAGTAATATTTTTGATGTGATGTTAAAGAGACAAGAGCTATGCAAATAAATATGAAAGTTTAGGTGTTAAATATGCAAATACAAAAGATTTGTGTGGCATGTATGTAAATGCCCCCCTAAGTTGCATTCTTCCTCACCTCTTCAGCATTACTTGGCTTATGGGGGTTAACCTCTGGAAACAATTTCACACTCTTCAAGCAGGCAAGCAGCTACAGATGAAACTCCCGGTATTAATCTGCATCTGCAAGATAAATGATGAGCTAGTTTGCTGATCGTGAAGGTATAAAAACCTGAAGTGAGAAGTGGGTTAATTTTCAATATTTATACCTTGAAAAATTATAAGAAAATAGAATAATTGAAGGTAAAATAATTATGAAAAAAGATGGAAGTGTTTTCGTTTGTTTTTCTCTCTTTTATTTTTAAATGAGTCTCCAGCTTGTCGATTGTCGTATACTTCCCCTATCCGAATAAATCTCCCTCCCGAACCATATCAATGATTCAAAGAGGAGAGGAATCGAATAAAAAAGGACATACGACAAAACAACAAATAAGAGAAAACACAAAACGTGGAGAGCCTACGTGCGACAAACCTTGCAAGGATAGGTTAAGAGTGTTCGTCCAAACAAGATCGGGCGAAAGCACCTTAAACCGATATCCGCGAAAGAATACATACGTAGACTACCCATAACCAGAGATTCAGGTGTAGGTGCCCGTTCTGGGGTCAAGAGCACTCCCAAGGGGACGTATCCCACTTGGTTAATTACATCTTAGGGGGTACCCAAGAATACTCTCGATAAAAGGAGTTTCGCTTGGACTATCGTGAACCTGGGGCAATAGGTACAGGGGGAATGTCCTGATGCTTCTAAGCTCTCGCTAAACCACGGAGCGAGAAGTGAGTCTCTCGTGGTTCCCATATGGATAGCGTACTCATCAGCATACAGAACCTACGAAATAACCGTGTCATCCCAACGGGAAGTCCCGATACGTCAAAGCACATCCAAACCGTGAGGCAGATGACAAATCGTCGTATCCCAAACGGGCAGCAGCTCATCGGTCATCGGACCGCTGGGATGATTCCAACGAAAGCAAAAGAAAAGACAAGGCTCAACTGAGGTGGTAAAAAAGTTGGCAATGATAGTCCTAAGAGGTTGAGGTAACTGGGTCGGGGTACCACGGACCCGTCATTCACAGCTACTAGGACCCTAAGTCTACCTGGTCGTGAAGGTAGTCGACCTAACACGACCTGGGATCGCCGGTCAGCAATCCGTGAATTGCGTCGTCCACGGGAACTCCGGTAGCCCTAAGGTCAAAGGAACGAAACTCTATCCTATGACTATCAGCTGGAACTCCAAGAGGTGGGACTTATGTCTGCCAAAGTGGCGAGGATGCCTCAAGAAAGAAAAGAAAGTGGAGGTTCAGCTACAAAGCTGGAAACGCTCCCAACAAAAGGACTTATACCCCGTCTGGGTCAGGGAGCCTTCTAACATCCTAAGCGCACTAGACAACCACCTATAAAGGATATGTTGGGCCAGTCGGATTGGAGAAGCACGGGGGCTCCTCCTCGGGACATGCAAATATGAATGCAGTTATCTAGAGCGGTCCTTAAGTATTGTGGAGGCCCTAATAATATATGCAGGAAAGTAAATGTTGCAATTTTTTAAATCCTGAATATTTTAATCCTAAATTTTGATTATCTTGAATGTTTTATTTAGGATTTTTTTTTAGAAAAATTAAGAATTTAAATCCTAATGAGCCTATGTTGCATCGTGAAATCCCAGATGCGCAGAAAGAAACAATATAAAACGCTCCAACATGCAAAGGCATACAAGAAGAGAAAGAGAAAGAAAACATTCCAAAAGAATATAGAAACATGCCAAATGCCGCTGGACCGGCAACATAGTCCAGTGAAAGCAGTAAAAGCGGCGAGACTTCGCATATACATGTCCGGTCCTAATTCTATACA